TTCATCCCCCATAGTAATTCATCCCCCATAGTAATTCATCCCCCCAATATAGTAATTCATTCCCCATATTGTGTCAATTCACTTACCTTTGCTCCGCGCGTTCCTCTCGCCGTGTTTCCCGCGCCGTTCCGGTCTTCAGGGCGGACTGTGAGAGGAGAGGAGTTCGTCACGCTGCCCCGCCTACATCCTGACAGCCAATGTTTGCCACGCTCCGTGGGCTGGATTAAAAGGTCCGCCGGGCCATATACGGCCCACGGGCCGTAGTTTGCCCATTGCTGGTCTATGGAAATGTTTGACCATTCTTCCAGAAGCACATTTGTGAGGTCAGGCACTGATGTCCTACGAGAGGCCTGGTGCTCAGTCTCCATTCTAATTCATCCCAAAGGTGTTCTATCAGGTTGAGGTCAGGACTCTGTGAAGGCCAGTCAAGTTCCTCCACCCCAAACTCGCTCATCCATGCCTTTATGGACCTTGCTTTGTGTACTAGTGCGCACTCATGTTGGAACAGGAAGGGACCATCCCCTATATCGTAGCAACCTATCACGGTACCACACTTGAATTCACTGAGCTCCTGAGAGCGACCCATTCTTTCACAAATGTTTGTAGAAGCATTCTGCATGCCTAGGTGCTTGATATTATATACCTGTGGCCATGGAGGTGATTGGAACACCTAATTCCAATGATTTGGAGTGGTGTCCCAATACTTTTTAGCAATATAGTGTTTATCCCCCCACAGGGAGATTCCCCCATTTCCTGTCCAGGTGACACCAAGACAGGAAGTGGAGGGAAATCTTTTGCAATGATATAACCTTGTTAGATGTTCTAGGTATGTAAAAAAAAAAATAAAGCATATATAAAGCCAGAATAAAGCCATTTTGGCTGAATTATGGAAGAGTTAATACCCCATTCTATTTTTTCCCCACCTGTGCCCCATTGTGAGATCCCATAGACACAACAGGAAGTGAGAGGGAAATTGCCTTTGGAGGCAGTTGTCACCAGAACCGTTGCCGCCATTGGAAGGTTTCCTGTCTTTTCCTTTTTTCTGGTGACAATCCAAAGTTTTGGATTTTCCATATGGGTTGACTGGGACAAGGAGCTCTTTGTCCTGGTGACCGAAAGGAAAAAAATTTAGTTATCACATAAAGGGGAAGGGGGGGGCTCTAACTCTTCACTGCTCCATCCAAAACTAAAATAAAAAAATTGTGGCTTTAGTTTCCCTTTAAAATGACAGGTTTCTGAATATCTATAGTGCAGGGGTGGGCAACTGTGGCCCTCCAGCTGTTGGTGAACTACAAGTCCCATCATGCCTCTGCCTTTGGGAGTTATGCTTGTAACTGTCAGTTTTGCAATGCCTCATGGGACATGTAGTTCTACAAAAGCTGGAGGGCCACAGTTGCCCACCCCTGCTATAGTGCAATCCTGGGATATGATGCTGTGTTCATACACTGCTGATTGTGTCTGTTCATTATGTCTGTGTAGAATTATCCTCCTGGAAGAGGAAGACATGGGATGGAGGAGATGGGACTGGAGGGAGAAGAGAACATGGGATGGAGAAGGAGGAGGACATGGGATGGGGAGATGAGCCTGAAAAAGAAGGAAGACATGGGATGGAGAAGGATAAGGACATGGAATGGAGTGGGGTGGATGGGACTGGAGGAGGAGGGCATGAAATGGGACTCGGTGGGATCGCCAGGGGGTAGGCCCTGGAGAATGTTGGAAAAAACTCTGTGAATGGATGACATGGCTCTGTGAATGGATGACATGGAGCTCCACAGGGCCACACTCTTTTCAGATTGTTATAGCAGGTACGGGGAGAAGATCCCTGGCCCACTGTTACAGGGAAAGAGGGATTGTGGGAGAGCTGCAGGAGCTGTAACATGTTACATGTTCCTAAAAATGGGTGGAACTTGTAAACTGTCCTGGAAGAAGAATTTATCCTTTAATTCATTAGGCTTGGTCTTTAAAGGACCATTCATAAAGAATTCACACCTTTTTTATTAAAGTTTACATATACTCAGATGGTAACACTGTTATGCTAAAACTGAACTCAAGGCACAAAAAAACTTTAAATATACTGTATTAAGGGTATAAATCTACTTTGTGTGCTCCAAACACTCTTACAAATCCAGATATTACCTTGTAAAGGTACAAGTGACATCATCACTGTGGTGCATAGCAGTCAACACTGTCTCCAGCTCTCTCTCCTGGACCAGCAAGCTTCAATCTTTGACATAACTAGCTCAGTCAATAGAACAGGAGACTCTTAATCTCAGGGTTGTGGGTTTGATCCCCCTGTTAGGTTTATGACTTTGCAAAGGTTTTCGTGGAGTTTAGTGGTCTGGGAAAGAGAGCTGGAGGCACTGTGGGCTGCTTAAGTGAGCCGTCCCTGAGGGGTGATTGCAGCAGCGGCAGTGATTCTCTGTTTACTGCTGGCGCATCTCTTTTTTTTAATTTACAATGTGACTGCAATATTTTAATTTATTAATAATAGAAAATAATCAGTGAGCACTAAGGAGGGTTTTTTTTTTGAGCTTAAGGTTAAAAGAGAAGTGTGGGATTTAAAAAAAACAACATATACACTCCTAAAAACAAACATATAAGCATGCTCACCTAGGTGGATGATGCATCAGTACAATGCTTCATCCTCCCCTGTTGCCTCTAAGACTGAGAACTGGGTGATCAAAGACTGCTGATTGCTCGGTTCTCAGTGAGCAGAGATCTGGTGACTGTGACCAGTGAGCAGGAGCGACTGGCCAGGCTCTCAGCTGTTGTCGGTCAAGCATCTTCGGGATCCCTCCAGAATCTTAACTGGCTGAGTGCCATCAGTCAATAGTGGACTTTAGCCGCTGTCAGCTGAATATGGGTCAAAAGAGTGCAGAAGTATGTGCCCTCCTGTGACCCCCAAGAGAAGTATAGCCAAAAGACCTTTGGACCTACTTCTCCTTTATTAAAAAATAATCAGTGAGCACTATGGAGGTTCTTCTCTTTTGTTGAGCTTGAGGTTAAGAGCAGCATGTGAAGCAGTGATTATGAAGAGGAACTGTTGGGGAGCGAAATCCTGACCAGTGTGCTGTGTGCTGGTTGAACCCATCTGGCAGAACTGGGGATTCTGTGTCCTTCATGCGAGTTTGACCTTTGTATTGACGGTCAAACTGTAAGGTCAGAATACACCTTTAGAGGATATGGTGGAGGATTCGTGTCACCCATCCTGTGTTCAACTTATTGTGGTTTTTGAACCCAGAGCACTGATTATGTCACAGACCTTGGTGGGCTTTGAGCACATTATTTTGTTGCAGTTTTCTCACCATTTATACTGTTTATTGTGTCATCTTCACAAGCTATCAAACATAACTATATATTCTCTAAATGCAATAACTTCTGTGGATTATCCCAAAAAAATACATCTTACATCAGTAGTAGGGTAGACAAGAGGTGGAGATCTACCTGAACAACATGGGAGAGGTCACAGATCACCGGGCATAGTGTCACCTCTTCACACCTGATGTAAACCTCTGTTTGCTGTACTACTGTCGAAATCATGAGCATTGCATGGCAATCAGTGCCTGCTGCGCTTGTGAATGAGCCCTTACTTGCATTTAGCAATGGCCTCTGTGGTAAGACCCTGTTGTTAAGTTGGGGTTTTACCGCCCCCAATCCCTACTCCCTTTAACTGCTGAGGCATCAGCCACAGGTGTACACATGCCGCAGCAGGAATTAAAACCCCTGCTGCTTTTGGTGGGTGCTACCACCTGCCAATCGCAACCCATTCAAGTAAATGGGGCCACTCTGCAAGTGCCCTGAAACTGCATGCTTCTGTGGGGTCCAAGGGGTTAAAGCAGGTGGTGAGAAAGTAACATAACGCTGCCTGATTTAACCGCTACTTTGCTGTACTGCACACGGTTGCAGAGCGGCCTCATCAACTTGAATGGGTCATGCTTGGCAGGTGCTACACACTCCAACCATGACAGGACATATAACTCCTGCGGTGGCTGCGACATGTGTACACCCCTTGCCACTGCAGCTAAAGAGGGTACGGTTGGGGCAGGGGTGGGAAAAACACATCTTAGCTACTGAGTTTTTCCAACCCCCAGACTTTAAATGTAAATTAACCCTTACTGTTCTGAGCCCCCTGTAAGGCTGCTTTCACACTGATGTGCCGGGGTTTATCTGCGCCGCAGTGCATCTGCAACTATTTTGGGTTAGCTGCAGTTTGCCATAGACTTCTACAGTATTATATCCTGCACGAATGGTGCACTTTCTGAATACACACCAAAACTCCTGCATTCAGAAGCTTTGGTACGATTTCAGAACGTGCACCAAACCCGCAGGTATTAACAGAAGTTTATGGCTAGGTGCAGCAAACCTGCAGGAAAGCTGGAGGTACACTGCACTGCACCCGCGATGTGGGTAAATCGCGGCGCATCAGTGTGAAAGCAGCCCTATACTATTATGCCCAGTGTATTGCTTTACACTGACCTGAAAATCTCTTCTTTGCCGCTGCTGGCACCGCTCTGGAGACCGCTAGCCGGGATAAGAGGTGGAGTGCCAGTTGGCATCACTCCTCATCGGACAGGAGTCAGCACTACAGAAAAGACATCAGCTGACGCAGATCTTGCTCCCTACTACAACTCCAACTTTACAAGTAGCTTCTTTGCATTGCACTCTGATGCTCTGGGATGTCAGGTCAGCAAGCCTAGATCGCGTTCTACCAGTCACCTGGCCGCGAACTACTGGCTGCTGATCCGCACTTTAGAAGGACATACTATGGAAGGAAAAACTAAGAGAGTAAGAGAGTATAAGGAAAATGATACGATTGTCTGGATCTTCAAAGATGATGTAGCAACAGTTCAAAAATCGAACTTGAGGATTGATCTGAGTTGGTTTCCATTAGTTATTCTTTGCATGCAAGCACTAGAGTAGATAGCCCAATGAGCTAGCTCCGTGTATGTGAACATCTGGGATGTCAGGTCAGCAAGCCTAGATCGCGTTCTACCAGTCACCTGGCCGCGAACTACTGGTTGCTGATCCGCACCAGGGGCGGACTGACCATTTGGAAACTTGGGCACTGCCCGAGGGTCTGGGGTCAGTAGGGGGCCCCATGAGATGCCCCTGGTACCTTTTTTATAGGCTTTTTTGAGTTTGGGCAAGGACACACGGCCCCATGATCCCCTATTGCCCGGGGGCCCCATGAGTTGTCAGACCGCCTCTAATCCGCACTTTAGAAGGACATACTATCGAAGGAAAAACTAAGAGAGTATAAGGTAAATGATACGATTGTCTGGATCTTCAAAGATGATGTAGCAACAGTTCAAAAATCGAACTTGAGGATTGATCTGAACATTCTTTTAATTCTTGTGTGTAGAGGAATTGGTTGATTTATTACTGCTATTTGCCTAAGAAATTAAAATACAACAAAGATTAGAATATTAGAGATCAGCATGTGCAGGTCAGGCAATGACTGAGAGGATGTGGTCACCAAGGCATTGCTGTCAGCACATTACTCATAGGCAAAGGGCGGGGGTTCACCACGTACAGTTTCGGCTATGTCACAAATCCAAATCGTGGGATTTTCAGAAGGTAACACTGGAGGGATTTCCTCTTATTAAGTGCAGGAGAAAGGCTCTCTAGCTCGTCTACTCAAACGTATGCTTTCAATTGCAAGAATCAAGCCAGCTACTGTTCACCTTGTAGGTTTCCCAGTATGTGAACATATGATGTTCACATACACGGAGCTAGCTCATTGGGCTATCTACTTGCATACAAAGAATAACTAATGGAAACCAACTGTCCACTCTGGTGAAACCTGCTTAGTTATAAAGCGTTTCTTACATTGACCAAGTGTTTGCAGTACCAGAGCTATTATTACAAAAATGCCAAGACATTGCTGACAGTCAAGATATTATTTGTTTGCTATAGCAATTATTTAAAAACAACCAACGCATTTTAAGCATTCCTAGGGGTCGCCTTCATCAGGTCTTGGAATGGAATGGAAGGTCTGGATTTTTGGGAATCCTTAATTATAATTCAGCATAGATCTGCTCCGAGCGCTGGTTTCTGCTATATCTGGACTGTTTCGGTACTTTGACATTTTTTGTATTAATAAAATAGCATAGGTCATTTTAATTAGCTGTGGCTTTCTCTACTGGAGGCATGATTCCAGTCCCATTGGTCTTTGTTTTCACACGTATGGAAGATGCCTTCCACAGTGTCATTTTTCAGTAGATAATTTTTCTGCATCACTCCACCTATCTGAGCATTTGCATGAAATCTTGGGGGGGGGGTGCAGACCACACAAGCACCCCCCAGCACCCCCATGTGGCTCTTACTTGGCTAGCAAGAGTCCCTCCATGTGCTGCCAGTATTATAGCAAACAATGCATCCTTCTTGACGTGCTTGGGTCCCGCTTGTCTGTGCCAGGCCACGGCCATGCGAGCTATTCCAAACATGGCATCCCTCTTGACGTGTCTGGGTCCCTGGGTCCCGTTTGTCTGTGCCGGGCCACGATTGTGCAAGTTATTCCAAACATGGCATCCCTCTTGATGTGTCTGGGCCCCGCTTGTCTGTGCCAGGCCACGGTCGTGAGAGCTATTCCAAACATGGCATCCATCTTGACGTGCTTGGGTCCCGCTTGTCTGTTCCGGGCCACGGCTGTGTGATCTATTCCAAACATGGCGTCCCTCTTGATGTGCCTGGGTCCCGCTTGTCTGTGCCAGGCCATGGCCGTGCAAGCTATTCCAAACATGGCATCCCTCTTGACGTGTCTGGGTCCCACTTGTCTGTGCCAGGCCATGCCCGTGTGAGCTATTCCAAACATGGCATCCCTCTTGACGTGCCTGGGTCCCACTTGTCTGTGCTGGGCCACGGCCGTGTGAGCTATTCTAAACATGGCATCCCTCTTGACGTGCCTGGGTCCCGTTTGTCTGTGCCGGGCCATGGCCGTGCAAGCTATTCCAAACATGGCGTCCCTCTTGATGTGCCTGGGTCCCCGCTTGTCTGTGCCAGGCCATGGCCGTGCAAGCTATTCCAAACATGGCATCCCTCTTGACGTGTCTGGGTCCCACTTGTCTGTGCCAGGCCATGCCCGTGTGAGCTATTCCAAACATGGCATCCCTCTTGACGTGCCTGGGTCCCACTTGTCTGTGCTGGGCCACGGCCGTGTGTGAGCTATTCTAAACATGGCATCCCTCTTGACGTGCCTGGGTCCCGTTTGTCTGTGCCGGGCCATGGCCGTGCAAGCTATTCCAAACATGGCACCCCTCTTGATGTGTCTGGGTCCTACTTGTCTGTGCCAGGCCACGGCCGTGTGAGCTATTTCAAACATGGCATCCCTCTTGACGTGCCTGGGTCCCGCTTGTCTGTGCTGGGCCACGGACGAGCAAGCTATTCCAAACACGGCATCCCTTCAGGCATTCAGTTTACAATTTCATGTTGGGCTTCATGCAGAGCCCTCTTTGACCGCAAGTGGCCATGGGTTGGACACCCCTAGTTTAAGGGCTTGAGTTTTGAATTATGATGACATTACAGTTTAGATTTTTAGGCTAAATTGGGGTGAAGGATTAGATTTATGGGTTAGGGTTTAGTTTAAAGTTAAAGTTAATGGTGGCTATGCACCACCTGGCTTGACAAAAATTGATCTTTCACTCAATGTTTGTTGAATTAGGTGGGTGGAAAATTGTGTCAGCTGAACAGTGGCTGCTTGCATTCAGATGTAGTCATTGTTCAGGTATTCAGCAGCTGTGGGTCCTACCAGATGCTGGGTACAGTAGCCAGCAGGGGAGATTCCTTCAGTCACGCTGTTTAACGTGGATGGGGGGAATCAATTAATTTCTCTCGTTTAATTTATGGGGGTGTATGGCTAGCTTAGGGGTTGGGAATAGGGATTAGTAGAAGGCTAAGGATACAAATGCAAGCTAGCTAATTTCTTCAGTTTTGGGATGTTTGGTATACACATACAGTACATGATTTAAAACATGTAAGAGTGAAGAAAATTTAGTCCTGTAAAATTTTTAGATGCTGAAAATGTAATGAAATACTTTGCCCTGATACTCCCACACCAAAAATGACTGTGCCAATTTTCAGAAGCTAGAAAACAATGAAGTGCTTAGAGAAGCTCTGGCAGTGCATCCACATTTCGTTATTTGTAATTATTGTAAAAATATACTATATGGGCAAATAGGGAATAACCTTAAAGTGTTACTAAACCCACAACAGAAAAATAAGTCTGTATATGCAGAAAAGCATGCTTGTTAAACTCATTGTGGAACCTAAGGGGCTAACCCTCCGCATTGTGTAAAAAGGCTGTTTGATCATGTCTTCTGTGATCCTCCCCTTCTACTGTCCCCAATCTGGTGATAGTAAAGAGGTATAGGAGTCACTCTGTAAATGCTCAGTTTAGTGAGTATTGCAGTTTTTTTGAGAGAGGGTGCATGTGATCACCACAGGGCCAATCAGCATGTCTACACAGAGGGTCAGGGGTCATGCAACCTCATAGGACAGTCAGAGCAGAATGAAAACTCCACCTACAAGATTAACCAGTGCTCAGCTGTACACTGATAGAAGTCACAAGACCAATATATATATATATATATATATATATATATAATGAGAAAACGTATTTAGCTATTTATATTTGTTAAAATAATTGCAATTCCATGTTCTGTGTACTATGGGAGACAAGATATAGTGAATGCAGGGTCCTGGGTTTAGTAACACTTTAAAAAAGACAAACATCTGATGTTGAATAACGAATCTTGCAATTCTATCCATTTTTGATTAGTAATGATATAGTTAGATTCTGCAATAGCACCCAATACTATGCTAACCCATCACCAAGCACTTAATAGATACTTTCAGATTTGAATATATGCGTGTGTGGCCTCTGGACAGAGAAATTAGATCAGACCTGGCATCGGATGTCCTTGTCTGAGATTAATGTAGCTAGAAACAGTAATATACAAAGCATGGCACTTTCCGTCATTAAATAAAATGCCTACTCTGTTGGACATAACTAGTGGATGATTCATTTCCTAGCAGTGAATGTACCCTGGCTTGTAATAGGCACAGACAGTCCAGCAGCATGCAGGATATGATTTATGAAAATCTGAAGCAAGGGAAAAAAGTGCTACTATCTCCAAACACCAGTTAGGTAATATATTTACATTTATTGCATTTGCTAAAAAAAATATTAAAGTGATATCAAATGTTTTGTTTTTAGCCACTTTCAGCATCTGATTTAATCATGTATTGACTATGTATCTTCTTCCAGTTTAAGCTGTTACCATAACTGCTGCCCCAGGTTTCCTGTTTCAGGGTGGTTCCTTTCTCTTGTATTGTGCTATGAAGCCACCCTTGCATGCAGGGACTAGGGCTGTGTCTCCCTATACTGTGTGTATCAATAGAAACACATAGCCTCTTAGTCTAGGATGGCAAGATACTCCCTTGTGCCTCCCTCCGCCTCCTCTCTGCTCCCTTCTCTAAGCAGGAGTCTGCACTGCCCACTGTTAAAAGAGAAAGTATGGCCAAAGCTGCTTTAACCATACTTCTCCTGTGGGTCACAAGCGAGCACTTAATTTTGTTCGCCTGTGACCCAGAATCAGCCGATAGTGGTCCATTGTCTGCTATCAGCTGACACAGCAGAGCTTCTCCAGGCTCTGGAAGGATCATGACAATATTGTCAGATACATCCATCGGCCTGATTGACAGCCGGTTCTGCCTCTCAGCATGTGGGTGAGAGCCAGCTGTGCCTACCCCCTCCCCTGCCCAGTTCTCCAGTGAGTGCTGTGGGAACTGATGGTCAGTGGTCATGTGATCACTTGGTTCTTGGGCTTAGAGCCAACGTGGGACAGCTGCAACATCATACCGATGCTGCAGCATAGAGGTGATTATGTATATATTTTTTTTTTTAAGCCATATTTCTCCTTTAATTTCCTGTGAAGGCCAGAAGTTCAGGGAAGTAGCAATGAGAGAACAGGAGCCAGTAGATTTGAAAGTTGTAACCAGCAATGAACAATTAAGAAATAATTTACTGGGGAATGTTTTTTTTTTATTGTGTACTCAGTGTGTTAAACTAACCAGAGCTGACTTTAATCATGTAATGTGGTTTGCAACAGTTTTACTCTTTTGACTGCTGTCCTAAAGGAGCTCTGCATTATTTTTGTGTAGTGTTTATGATGCATGAGCTGTACTATACAAACTATGGAAACTTCAGTTGCTACTCAAATAAGATATGGCATTGATAGGATGATGAAAACTGATTAGGATGAATGATTCATAATACAGTGTAAAATACATAGGCCATAGGTGAACCAGTTCATAAAGAAATGAGGCCTAATGCTAGTCATTCCAATCTGCTCATCAACAAACACTTTAGCCAGGAAACATGTACTTCCAGTAACAACTGTAGAAAAACCTCTGAAGTTTGTTTTTGGCTGTAATTTATTTTTCATGTTATTTTGTGAAATATGCAATTCAGAAATGCTCTATAACAGTGGTCTCCAAACTATGGCCCAGGGGCCAGATGCAGCCCTTTGCCAGCCTTTATCTATGGCACTATTCCTCTCGCTGACACCAACAGAGGGCATAGTTATTGACACTGACACCAATGGTGGGGCACTATTTCTTCTCCTACTGACCACAAATACTATGTCATTTTTACAGTTTTTTAGATTTTTTTTTACGCCCACTGACCATCAAACCTGAGACATTGTTCACTCCCACTGATGCACAGCATTTTCTACTCCCACTGGCCACAGTTCGGCCCCCCTAAAGTCTGAAGGACTGTAAACTGGCTCTTTGTATAGAAAGTTTGGAGACCCCTGCTACTTAATGATCTATAGCAGCCATCAGTTTTTTTTAGTCTAGATGAACCCTTTAAAAAAATTTTAGGTCTCAGGTAACCCCTGCAAAAATAAATAATCTGGGCTTAGTGGAAAGGATGCCCTTTACATTGGTGGCTGGTGGGAAGAATCTCCCTTACAGTGGTGCCCAGAATGCCTCCCTTACAGACAGCTAAAACGATTATTAATGTCATGCCACTGGCTCTGCCAAGAGATTTAGGACCTGTAATTATGGAGGTGCCATCAAATGGGAGGTCAACCAGCTAGAGCTCAAGGAATCCTTAGCAACCTCTGGAGGAACCCTGGTTGAGAATAGCTGGTCTAAGATCATTAGTGAACTGGGAGCCATCTATTGTATTTATCTTTAGACATAAATTTTAATTTATGATTTTAATTTCCTGGCAGTCCAGCCATTCCTAAATATGTTGGCCCATTGGGTTCATATCAGAAAACACAAGGGGGGGGGGGGTTAAAGTACCCATCTTGTCCTCATATAACTGCTCATACTATTTTTGGCTGTATAGAAATACTTTGCTTACCATTCATATACCTGATAATAAAATAAATGTAAACTGCAAATTATTGACATTTTGTTTGCTATCTATCATAAACAGGCACTATTTTTTAATAAAACCCTTGTTTTCACTTCCATTTCATTCTGTATTACATCTCGGTGTTGCTCCTACAGTTTTCGCAATACCATTACCAGACTTGTAAAATTCTGTAAAGGACAGATGCTGGGAAGTCAGATCCTACTAATATAGGCATTTCCCCAGAACTACATCTTTCAAGAGCCTTTTCCCCACACACAGTGTGTGTGTGTGTGTGTGTGGGGGGGGGGGGGTTATGAAAGCTTGTGCACACACAGAATCTGATGCAGCTGTGCATAGAAACTGATCAGCATTCAGGTTTTATTATCAAAGCCTAATTGCACAAGTTAGAAGCTGATTGGTTACCATGCACAGCACCAGAATCTGAGTGCTTCATTTTTAGTAAATGTATTCCCTCCTAGATTGTAAGCTCCAAGGAGCAGGGCCCTCCTATCCCTCTTGTATTGAACTGTATTGTTGCTGTATTGTCTCCCGTTATATTGTAAAGCGCTGAGCAAACTGTTGGCGCTATATAAATCCTGTATAATAATAATGTATTTATTTATTTATTTCAGACACTTGTATAGATCCATCAGTTTTCACAGCGCTTTACATATATATTGTACATTCACATCAGTCCCTAACCCTCAAGGGGCGTACAATCTAAGGTAAATCTCCCCCAGTGTGTAGTCAGGTTTTTAGAAGTCCAGACAGCAGCATTGCATTGATGAGAAAAAAAATCAACAAATGCATGTGGAGTGGTGGGTGGGGATGGGCTGAGTTGTGGAGCCCAGCAGGCAAGGCTGACAACTCTGGCTTGAAACAAAGGCTCCGTGTTGTCAACTTAAACAGAAATTTAAGAGCACATCCAAATTCTGACAGATTAACAGGTGTTTTTCTATACTTGTAGTTTTTAACCACTTAAGCTCCAGAAGATTTTACCCCCTTCATAACCAGGGCATTTTTTTCTATTCGGCACAGCACTACTTTAACTGGCAATTGTGGGGTCATGCAACACTATTCCCAAATTAAATTTATATCATTTATCACACAAATTGAGCTTTCTTTTGGTGCTATTTGATCACCACTGGGTTATTATCTTTATATTATATAATCGAAAAAAGACCGAATTTTTTAAAAAATATTTTATTACTTTCTACTATAAAACATACCCAATAAAAAATTTAAAAAATAAAATTTCTTCATAACTTTTGGCCAAAATGTCTTTGGTTAAAAAATCCTAATACGCGTATATTCCTGTTCCTTTAAATAGTTCATTTGGGCCAACCTGGCCCAAACAAGTTATTTCAATAACTAAACTATGCAGCGACTGTGTGTGCTGTAATCTACTGTACTAGCATTAGCTACATACAGTAGGTGGCGCTGTGTTCTAAGGGCAGTACGGGCCACTTCTTGTCTGCTTCCGGAATATGGCTCCATGCACACTTTAACCTCCTTAGCGGTAATCCAGAGTGTAGCTCGGGGTAAAATTTCTATACCAAGAGCGGTAACCCCCGAGCTACACTCGGGCTTACCATGCGGCGTTGCTCTGGGGGTCCCTGCAGCACTTACCTTGTCCTTCGCTCTCGCAATCCCTGCAGCGTCCCCGGCCATCTCCTCCGGCTGATGCTGGCATCCGGCTTCCGTGTTCCGGTCCCTGTGACGTCGGGACGTACGGGCGCCGGAACCGGCAGGAAATTTGAAATTTTTAAAAAATGTCATTTTTGCTGTCATTGCTGTTTCAATGCATTTCACATATATTGTGTCCCTACTGCTTTGTCCTGCGCCCTGCCTGCATTTTGAATGTTATTTCTGCCTGGAAACTTAGAAAAGTCCATGGCGTCCAAAAAGCGTCCCTTTACGTCAAAAGCGGTTTTAGAACAGCGATAGTAAATCAGAACCACTTGCAGAATTGAGTGATAATGATTCGTGGGGAAATTCGTCATCAGACACTGAAAACGATTTTGCGACTTTGCTCAGCGATGTGCGAATTTGCCTCTGTATTTCAAATTTCTGTGTTTTTGGTTGGATTATATTATTGAATTAAATTTATTATTATATTATTATTTTTTATGATTATTTATTAAATTATAATTTTTGATTTCGTGTTTCAAATTTTATCATACCCGGAATGTTTACTAGACTCTTGTTCGTACAGATTTCAGTGAGTTATTCCTAAAAATTACAGCCTACAATAAAAAACTACATATTTCCATGCAAAAAAATGGTACCGCTTTCAGCACAAAAAATCGGAAAGAATCATACCGCCGAGGAGGTTAAACATGAGTCACTTTAAAACATGAGTTTTTCAGCTGTTTTTAGCATTTTTTCATTTGTGTTTTGCCACGTTTAGCTGTGCTTTCCCATGTTTTTCCGCGTTTGCGTTTTTTAGCGTTTCTTTTTTACCCAAAAAAAAATTTTTTTTGCTCAAAAAATGTCCAAAAATGCCGGTTTGCGGCATTTTACTGCATTTTGTTACATTTTTCAGCATTAGAGTTTTTTTTCCAGCTAAAGAACTCCTCCAGATACCCACTAGTCCTGGGTTTTTTTTCCAGCCAAAAAACGTCCCTGCCAAAAATGTTGATTACAGTCTATGTGTGCATGGACACATAGGATAACATGCTGGGGAGTTTACTAACTGCAGAAAAAAATGTCAAAAGCCAAAAACAGCTGCTGTAAAAACGTCCGGTGTGCATGAGGTCTAAAGAAGAGTCAGCCCCCAGAATAAAGAAGAGTCAGCTCGAATGCTTTTCCAACATTCAGAAGAAACCTTGTATTTTTATCACTGAACACAAGGCTTCTTCTGATTGGTCGAGGTGGAAAGACAAGTAGATGATGTCATGATTTCCACCTGCCTCATGGAAGTCTTATATTTATTGATGAAAAAAAAAGGCTTCTCCTGAATGGCAGAGAAGTACCCAGGTTGAATTTTATTTTCGGCAGCAGGTGGGAAATCGCTGGTTTTGCTGTCAGAACACAGCGTCACTTATGCAGGCCATAGATGGGTCGAAAATCGGCCGATTTTTCGGCCGAAAATAAAATCGGCCGATTTTTGGATCGTTAGTGGGCTATTTGGTCGGCCGTTTTTTTTTTCGGTATTTTGGCCGTTTTTTTTTTCCTGTAAAGTTGGAAAAAATCGGCCGATTTTGCCGATCGGCCGATTTTTGCGGCAATTATGCAGGCCATAGATGGGTCGAAAATCGGCTGATTTTTCTTTTAAAAAAACGAACAATCGGTCGTTCAAGTGGCCGACGTTACCACCAATGGTAAAAAAAATCGGCCGATTTTCATCCCTTCTACAGCTGGCAAAAAGTGTCCCTGCAGAGAGCTCCGCTATTTCTGACAGTTCTCTGACAGTTCTTTGACATTTACAGCGGTTGAAACATTGTATCTATTTGTTTCCATTTAGGATACAGATGTTTTTATTCGGAAACAAATAGATACATTGTTGCAACCGCTGTAAATATCAAAGAACTGTCAGAGAACTGTCAGAAATAGCGGAGCTCTCTGCAGAGACACTTTTTGCTGGACTGGAATTCTTCTTATTTTCATCCTACTTCTTCTTCTTCTTCATCCTCATCCTCTTCTTCTTCTTCATCCTCATCCTCTTCTTCTTCATCCTCATCCTCTCTTCTTCTTCTTCTTCATCCTCTTCTTCATCCTCATCCTCTTCATCTTCATCCTCATCCTCTTCTTCTTCATCATCCTCATCCTCTTCTTCTTCATCCTCATCCTCCTCTTCTTCTTCCTCATCCTCTTCTTCCTCATCCTCTTCTTCTTCTTCTTCTTCTTCCTCATCCTCATCCTCTTCTTCTTCATCCTCTTCTTCTTCTTCTTCTTCTTCTTCTTCCTCACCCCCATCCTCCTCTTCTTCTTCTTCTTCTTCTTCCTCATCCTCATCCTCTTTTTCTTCATCCTCATCCTCTTCTTCTTCATCCTCATCCTCTTCTTCTTCTTCTTCTTCTTCTTCATCCTCATCCTCTTCTTCTTCATCCTCATCCTCTTCTTCTTCATCCTCATCCTCTTCTTCTTCTTCTTCATCATCCTCATCCTCTTCTTTTTCTTCTTCATCCTCTTCTTCTTCTTCTTCTTCTTCATCATCCTCATCCTCTCCTTCTTCTTCTTCTTCTTCTTCTTCTTCATCCTCATTATTATTATTATTACTACGAGTTTATATAGCGCCAAAGGGTTTGCCCAGCGCTGTACAATAGGGGGGACAATACATGGCACAGTACAACAACAACAAACAATGTACGAGGGGTAAGAGGGCCCTACTCTTACGAGCTTACATCCTCTTCTTCTTCTTCTTCTTCTTCCTCATCCTCTTCTTCTTCTTCTTCTTCTTCATCCTCATCCTCTTCTTCCTCTTCCTCTTCTTCTTCTTCTTCTTCTTCTTCATCCTCTTCTTCATCCTCTTCTTCTTCCTCTTCTTCTTCTTCTTCATCCTCTTCTTCATCCTCTTCCTCTTCTCTTTTTCTTCTTTTTGTCTTCCTCTTGCAGGTCACTGCTCATGCGCAGATTTTTTATCGGCAAAAAATCGGCCGATTTGCCCACTAATTGCCGTGAAAATCGGCCGATCGGCAAAATCGGCCGATTTTTTTTCCAACTTTACAGAAAAACTAAAACGGCCAAAATACCGAAAAACGGCCCACCAAATAGCCCACTAACGATCCGAAAATCGGCCGATTTTATTTTCGGCCGAAAAATCGGCCGATTTTCGACCCATCTATGGCCTGCATTACTGTTTGTATTATATTACAGCACACACTGCGGCCACATCTTTTTGCATTGATAACACTTCAATTGGGCCAGCTTGACCCAAATTAACTATTGAAAACGACAGGGAACATGGAATTCTACTTTAACCAAATTTAAATGATCTGTTGGTAACCTACTATAAGTAGAACCTAAGACCATTTACAGTGCATACCTTTTAGTCCATGCATACTTATAGCACGTTTGTACAAATAGTCAGCTACAGCATACCTACCGGGTCCAAAGATATTACACACTATGGGTGTTGATTTTCTAAAGGCAAACAGGCATTCACTTTGCAAGGGAATTTGCACATTGCGAGGTATTGTGCCCCAGAGCTTAGTGAATGTGGTGAAACTTCACTTTGCAAAGAATACCCAATCATGTGCAAAGAAAATGAAGACGTAATTTTTGCTTACACATGATTGGATGATGTAAGTCAGCAGAACTTCACAGCATTCACTAAGCTCCAGGGACATTCCCTTACAAAGTGCAACTTCCCTTGCAAAGTGAACAGTGTATTTGTCTTCAGTATATCAACCCCTATATTTCCTCACTTGGTGTTCTGTTCTGCAGGGGATGTGTCTGCAAGGGTCAGTGGGGTTGATTTATTAAAGCAAATGGACTGTGCACTTTGCAAGTGCAGATGCATTCTGCAAGGGCACGTGGTCCAGAGCTTAGTAAATGAGGTGAAGCTGCACTTTGCAGAGAATACCCAATCATGTACAAGGAAAAATGACAAAAAAAAACAAACGCATTTTGGATGATGGAAGTCAGCAAAGCTTCCACTCCTTAATATGCTCCAGAGCAAATGCCCTTGCGGAGCGCAATGGCACCTGCAAAGTGCACAATCTATTTGCCTTAAGGGCCGGTTCACACTATAGAAATGCACTCCAGATGCGTTCCGGATGCGTTTCCGCATGCATGTTTTTTACATGTTTCGGTGCGTTTTTGCTGCATTTTTGACGCGTTCCAGTGCATTTTTTATGCATTCCAGTTAATTTTTTCCCCTTTTTTTTTCTTCAATTTAAATCGGGACATGTGCATTCCAGGGCAATTCCGGTGCATTTTTTATGCATTTTACTGCGTTCCAGTACAGTTCTGTGCAGAAAAAATGCACCATGTTCTACTTTTTTTTTCTGCAACTGGAACACACTGGAACTGCAAGCCCTGATGTGAACTATGACATTGACAACCATATAACCTACTTTCTGTGTGTTTTGGAAGCAGAAAAAAAGCAACTGAAACGCATGTAGTATGAACTGGCCTTAAGGCTATGTTCCCACTGATCTGCAGCAAAAACGCATATGCATTTTTGGTGCATTTTTACTGCATTGCGGTGCATTTTTTACAGTCATGTGGCTCAAAAACTGCACCAAAAACACAACGCAGGTGTGCTTTGATGCGTTTTTGCCAGGTTTGTCATTGATTTTAATGGGGTGGTGCATATATGGTGCGTTTTTTTTTCTGCTCAAAACCTGCACCAAAAATGCAGCAAGAAGGATTCTAAAAGTGCACCGGACACTCAATGGACCAATGTATAGAGTTCCATAGGAATACATGGTCACGCGTTTTTCTTCCGCTTTTTTTAACGCAAAAGTGGAAACTAATCAGTGTGAAAGCAGCCTTAGTAATTCAACTCCTGTATGTTTGTGTACATAGATGTAAATGTGGTCATACAAGCTCCTTTTGCTGTGGCTGTCTATAAAGCTGTAATCACAGCGGTGAGCCAGGAACATTGACCTCCTAGCTACTCATTACCGTTAGCGGAAAGCCTTCGAAGTAAAAAAGTCCTAAAATACTCTACAGTCCCAAGGGGGCTAAAAAGTTATGTCTTGGAGAAGCTGCATCGTCCAACGTGGAATTACAAAAGTCCTTTGTGGAATATAGCTGATATATAAAAGTTGAATATTTTTGCAATGAAGACTTTAGCTATATACCAAGCCAAAAATCTGTTTTCCAGTTTTTGAAATATAGGGAAGGATTAGAAGCCCTGTCTGGTTTATAGTGCTATTCAGAGCTCCATCACCGAGCCCCGGTGACAACAGGTTTACTAGACAGAGAGTGAGGGAATACAGGGACATAGAGAGAAACATAAAATGATGTTGATAAGGGACTCTACTAGCATTCCTCTCCTCTACACAAAAAATAAAGAAATAAAAATATGTATATAAATATATATATATATATATATATATATATAGTGCATTCAGAAAGTATTCTGACCCCCTTAACTTTTTTCAGTTTTGTTATGTTGCAGCCTCATTAATCTACGCTCAGTACCCCCATATTGACAGAGAAATTTTACAATTGCCTTTGTATTTATTAAAAATAAAAAACTGAAATATCACATTGGCATAAGTATTCAGACCCTTTGGAACAACACTTGAAGTTAAGCTCAGGTGCCTCCCATTTCTTTTGATCATTGCTGAGATGTTTCTACACCTTAATGCAGGCCATAGATGGGGAGAAAACCGGCCAATTTTTCTTTAAAAAAAAATGAAAAATCGGTCGTTCAAGCGGCCGACGTTACCAGGAACGGTAGAAAAAATCGGACGATTTTCATCCCGTCTACAGCCGGCAAAAAGTGTCCCTGCAGAGAGCTCCGCTATTTCTTTGACAGTTCTTTGACATTTATAGCGGTTGCAACAATGTATCTATTTGTATCCATTTCGGATACAGATGTTTTTATTCTGAAACAAATAGATACATTGTTGCAACCGCTATAAATGTCAAAGAAATAGTGGAGCTCTCTGCAGGGACACTTTTTGCCAGACTGGAATTCTTCTTCTTCAGCCTCTTCTTCTTCTTCCTCTTCTTCTTCTTCATCCTCTTTTTCTTCTTCCTCCTCTTCTTCATCCTCTTCTGCATCCTCTTCTTTATCTTCTTCATCCTCTTCTTCTTCATCCTCTTCTTCATCCTCTTCGTCTTCTTCTTCCTCTTCTTCTTCATCCTCTTCTTCTTTTTCCTCTTCTTCTTCCTCTTCTTCTTCATCCTCTTCTTCTTCTTCTTCCTCTTCTTCATCCTCTTCTTCCTCTTCTTCTTCTTCATCCTCTTCCTCTTCTTCTTCTTCTTCTTCATCCTCTTCTTCTTTTTCTTCTTCTTTTTGTCTTCCTCTTGCAGGTCATTGCTCATGCGCAGATTTTTTATCGGTAAAAAGATCGGCTGATTTGCCCATAATTGCCGCAAAAATCGGTCGATCGGCAAAATCGGCCAATCTTTTTCCAACTTTACCGATAAAAAAAATCTGCCTAAATACCGAAAAACAGCCGAACAATTAGCCCACTAACGATCCGAAAATCGGCAGATTTTATTTTTTGGACGAAAAATCGGCCGATTTTTGACCCATCTATGGCCTGCATAATTAGGAGTCCACCAGTGGTAAATTAAATTGATTGGACATGATTTCCAAAAAGCACACACCTCTCTATAAAAGGCCTCACAGCTGACAATGCATAGTGTATCAGGGCAAATTACATAAGGTCAATTTACACAGCGCTTTACATATATATTGTACATTCACATCAGTGCCTAACCCTCAAGGGGCGTACAATCTAAGGTCCCTAACTCACATTCATACATACACATACATACTATGGACAATTTAGACAGGAGCCAATTAACCTAGCAGCATGTCTTTGGAGTGGTAAGTCATTAAATCATCCAAAGTCAAGGTAGCAATTCTTCTACTTAACCCCTTGAGTACTGGCCTGTATTACTGCTGCATTACCAGGACTTTTTTCAATTTCTGATGACATGATACTTTGACTGACAATTACTCCGCCATGCAACACTGTATTCATATAACTGGTATATCATTTTTGAACAGATAGCAGTTTGTGTTGGTGGTATTCCATAACCATTTTTTATTGCTTCCCTTACTTTTTGTTAAAATAACAATTCCAGGACAGTGTGATCATCCCAAAATGGCCCATTTTTGGAATGTAGACTCCCCAAGGTGATCTCACTTTTTGCCACCATTTTTTGGAAATGAAAAAACATGCTGGTATTGAGAGGGTTAAAATGTGGAGCTTAGTAATGGCGCACTAGATACAGGGCATTCAGGTCATATACAGAGGGAGAAGGTCACATACAGCGGGAGGATGGAGATGAATGGGATAAGGGAGGTGAAGGGCTATAGTAACACTAGATGATATTCTCCAAAAATAATCCATACACATTTACTACCTAATGGCCCTGAAATCAATTTTGCAGAAACCGTTTCTTACTGTATTTTCCTGCCACCATGTAACTTCCTCCATAAGCTTTTGAACTTCTCCTTTTCCCCCTCACTTCCATTTGTTTGCAACCACCAGTGCAGTTTGGAAGCTGTCATGTGCACTGCTCTATGCACACTACAAATCCCAGAGTCCATCTTGGGAGTGAGCAAGAGAATATAGCTATGAATGTACTATATACAGTGGGTCCATGGAGAGGGAACATAGCCACCCTCTAACAGAAAGTTGGATCGCAGCAGCAAAAAAAAAATGAATTTGGAGATTTGGAGGAGGCTGAGTATAATTATAGAAGGCACTTTTTTGAGTTGAGAATACAGATTTTTTTTTTTAAACCATAGTTTAATGACACTTTAAGCACTTGCCGCCCGCTAGCAGTAAATCTACTGCTAGCGGGCGGCAGCAGCAGGCTCAGCAAAGTACCCGTTCATTGCTGAGCACATGCGGCGTGAACCTGTGACTGCTGTGTCCAATTAGATGTTCCCACCCAGGGGCGGACTGACAACTCATGGGGCCCCCGGGCAATATGGAATGATGGGGCCCCTGTGTCCTTGCCCAAACTCAAAAAAGCCTATGAAAAAGGTACCAGGGGCATCTCATGGGGCCCCCTACTGACCTCGGGCAGTGTCCGAGTTTCCAAATGTTCAGTTCGCCCCTGTTCCCACCTATCCACAGTTCTATATTTGAAATTGTATTCAAGGGAAGTACAGTGCTTCCCTTTTGTTCTGTCTTCTAGGGGGGAAGAAAGGCATGGCACTAGTACATCCTCCGCCATGGATTCCAGCTGCCATTTTGGGGGAGCCTGTGTCTGTTTGAACACAGAGTTCTCCTGAGATTTGAGTGGCCTTCTTTGAGACATAGAGATCTTATATTGCCCCTGCTTTGTCATTTTGGGAAGCCCTGCAGTGTGGGGATTGAGAAATAGGGATAGAGACCCATTTGTGAGCCTAGAGACAAGTTGATTCTGGAAGAATGTAGGACAGAATAGGAAGAGAAAAGAAATCTCCTCCATGAAAACTTAGATGGCATAACAAATCTCTTCCCATACACTATCCAAAACTAAACAAAAAATGTTTTTTCAATTACAATAACAAATGTTTTGTACCATAAACATTGTCGTCGTGTTTAGGATCTTCGTTCCCTAATGAACCCCGTAGTTTATTATGATAGCCTAGCTGAGTATTTTAGTCTATGTAGAGCTGTGGCTAGTTTGTATTAGCAGCTGTTTTAATTAATGTATGATTATGTGTATATACAGATCTTTATAGGATTAAATGCTTACAGATTACTGCGCATTAGAAACATGTACATGTCTAAGTATTTAATCCCTACAGGAACGCTGCAGTTCTCTCTGCCTAATATATTTTCTTTGTTTCACATAAATTAATAGTTCATAGGAAATGGTAACTTAATAGTTCGTTGGGATTCAGCTTCCATTGTGATTAGATGCCTAAAGAGTTCAACTTTTCAGAAAAAATTAAAATATGAACTAATACCCTGCACCGTCCCCACTCTCCCGCTGCACTTGCATTGCAACACAGTTGAGGGTTTTTTGCAGCACTTCCCCTTTTGCCTGAGCCTGGGTTCACACATATGCGGTGTGGGTATATCGTATGTGATTCGCACAGGAACTGCACTGCATTCCTGTACAAGTCACATGCGAATTGTGTGCGGTGCGATTAGAGCCATACATTATGTATGGTTCAAATCGCACCGCATCTGCACCAAAAAGGTGCAGCAGGACCCTTTTTTTTTTGGTCCGCACTAGAATCGGATCGGATGGGTATTCACACCTATGTGATCCGATTCTGCACATCGCACGTTTTTTGCGAATCGATTTCAGGGTGTTGTTAACATACACATCTGCAGTGGTTCGCATGAACGGGGTGCGACTGTGAAATTTGCACAGAAAATGCTGCGACTTCCATACCACATCATTGTGAACTCAGGCTGAATGTGTCATGTTCGGCAGGGTTGCCACCTGCAGATCGCTGTTTGAGTAGATTTTGCCGCAGGCATGAAGCAAAGCCTTGCAACCACAGCATGTAAAACCCCCCATCTACTGCTCTAAGGGGGGTGAGGCAAAAACATGGCTCAGCTATGCATATTTACTGCCCCCCAACTGCATGCCTAAATAAAGCCTTACCCTAGGTTCACACCTAAGTATTTTCTGCAGCGTTTTGCAGAAAACGCAGTACAGTTCCGCTTAACATGATTTCCTATGGGACATGTTCACACCTGTGCATTTTCACCCGCTTTTTTGGAAAGGGTCAGGACTTTTTGAACGCAAAAAGTTGCGTTTTTGTTTGTATAGACTTCAATGGAAACTCTGCAGAATAGCATGTATTGTGTTTTTGCTGCATTTTTTAATGTGTGTTTTTGCTGCTTTTTTTTATGTGTTTTGCTGTTTAAATCTGCCTAGGAACAAGAAAAAAAAAACCTAGCAAAATGCATCAAAATGCAAGTGCAAAAACGCACAACACAATGCAGAAACATCTCAAACGCAACCTGCATAGGTGTGAACCTAGCCTTAGAAATATTATGGTGAAATTGTAAAATCATATATTAAAGTGATTGCAAATGCAAACATTTTTTAGTTTAATGTATATAATAATAAAGTGCAGTGCTAAATTAAATCAGTCAGTAATATGATCAGGGTGGAATCCAAATATAAATAAGTCCGTAGGTATATGGTGAGGTAAGATCCAGATGAGCAGAAAATCATATATAGCTTTACGCTGTGAAGTCAGAATGATAAAATTGCGCACTTACCAGATGGGCATATACGCAGTTAATATATCCACACACAGGACACTCTGAAGGGCAATGAAATTATCAAATATGACGCACTTAGGGTATGAAAATATCGGATGCCCCTTACCTGGGGGCAGTTTCATTTCTGGCGAAGGCACGGGTCACCCCATGAGATGCCCCTAGGGCATACCATTTATCATAGGCATTCACCTCAGGACATTGGGTATGAGGCAGGGGCGGACTGGACCATTTAGAAATTTCGTATCACTGACTGACCAAGGGGGGATGCATGGGGTCAGTAGGGGGCCCATGAGATGCCCTGGTACCTTTTTTGTAGCGTGACATTAGGCTTTTTTGAGTTTGGGCAAGGGCACAGTGGCCCCATGATCCCCTAGGCCCAGGAGCCCCAGATAGATGGAAGTCTCTTTGTGATGTACTATTGGGTCGCTGCAGTCAGTTAGGGTATGAGTATGGTAGGTGTGTGAAGATCATCATTCAAGGAATGGGCAGCACAGCAGTAAATAGATGATAAGTCTGCTAATCCAGAGCGTCCCCTTTAGGATGGATTGGGTCCAGCAACCTGGTTACAGGGAATTCCCCGGGTACTCCGGATATGGATCAAGGTTGATCTCCCCTCGAGGATGTGCGTGACACAAAAAAGCCTAAGGAGGAATCAACACGCTCTGAACGTCATGCCGCCGGCACAGCCGCGTGCTGGTCCGGCATGGCCATCTTTGTAAATGGTTTAGTTTTCATTGGGAACATAAAGATAGAAAGGGAATCCCTGTAAATACTACACTATGGGCACTTTTTTAATGGCTTCTTCATGGAGCCATTAAGTTTCAGAGCCAGTGGAAATTTTTCCTGATTGATCAGTATCCAGAGAAAGGGAATCCCTGTAAGCAGGTTGCTAACCCAATCCATCCTAAAGGGGACCTGTGGATTAGCAGACCTCACCCATTTACCGCTGTGTGCTGCCCATTATTTGAAGGATGATCTTCACACACCTACCATACCCTAAGGTGTCCTGAGGTGGATATATTAATGCGTATGCCCAGGGGGACAGACTGACAAACTCATGGGGCCCCCCGGGTAATAGGGGATCATGGGGCCCCCTGTGTCCTTGCACAAACTCAAAAAAGCCTATGAAAAAAATGGTACCAGGGGCATCTCATGGGGCCCCTACTGACCGCGGCCTCGGGCAGTGCCCGAGTTTCCAAATGGTCAGTCCACCCCTGGCTGTGGATTCCCCATCACCGCCATCTTGGATTTGGGAGCCAACTGTGACTTTTTGATGAATGAAGGAAGGCAGGTTCACACCAGGATGTGCTGCTGGAAAACCAGCGTTCCCTGTGCGTTTCCTGAACCGTGTCCCGAACTGACCCCGGGGCCCTCGGGCAGTGCCCGAGTTTCCAAATGGTCAGTCTGCCCTGCGCATGCCCTATGCGCATCTGGTAAAGTGCGCAATTTTATCATTCCTTCAGAGCACCAGCATATTGATTTCTGCTCAATCTCTTGATCTTACCTCACCATATACCTACGGATTATATACATTGTTCTTTGTGGGTTTCATTTGGTTACCTTAGTGTGTCAGCTGCTATGTTGGAGAGCGCTTACTTTGTTTCTAATAATTTTTTAGTTTAAATGGAATTGCACAGAGTAGCCCAGAATATCCTCTTTCCTTGCTGTCTTTCCTGGCTCCCCCTTATCTTAGTGGTATTCCATAGGAAAACGCTTCCTACGAGGTACTACCTTCATGCTCGCTCCTGTTTCTGCATCTGTAGAACACAAACATCAGAATCGGCCCCGCTACTCCAATCCCTCATCACTAGCTTTGATTGACAGTGATAGGAGTCAATGGCCCCTGCTGCCTCAGCAAGGCCAGTGAGACCCAGAAGTGAGGGGATAGAAGAACTGCAGACGTGCACAGTGCTGGATTGAATGAGGGCTCAGGTAAATATAAGGGGAGGTGAGGGGGTGATTATCATGCCTAAAACATGTTTTACCTTAATGCAAGGAATGCATTAGAGTGGTTGTAAAGGCTCAAGGTTTTTTTTCACCTTTGTGCATTCTATTCAGGATGGTAAAAAACCTGTGTGTAGCAGCACCCCTAATACTTATCTGAGCCCTGTGTCGATCCAGCATCATGCACTAGTGCCTTGGCTCTTGGGGGACTCTCCCTCCTCATTGGCTGACACAGCAGCAGGAGCCATTGGCTTCTGCTGCTGTCAATAACAGCCAGTGAGCCAATGAGGAGAAGGGGTGGGGTGGGGCCAAGCCACGCTTTGTGTGTAAATGGTCACACAAAGCAGCTGCTCACGATCGAGCCTACTTGGGTGCCTCCATAGCAAGCTGCTTGATATGAGGACACTTGGCAGGAGGGAAGGGCCAGGAGTGCCAGCGGGGGACCCCAGAAGAAAAGGATCAGGTCTGCTCTGTGCAAAACCATTGCACAGAGAGAGAAGGTAAATATGACATGTTTATTATTTAAAAAAAAAAAAAAAAAAAACTTGTCTTTAATATCACTTTAAGGTGAAAAATGTAAGTGTGTGCTGTGACTATAGAACTTTACCAGTTGCCACCTGCCCACAGTACATGTACTGCAGGCAGGTAGAACAGGCAGGCTGGATCATGTACCTGTACGTCATCCAGCTAAGGGGCGCATAATGCACTGCTCCCGCAACTGCTGTGTCCACTGGATATAGCAGATTGCAGCTCCTGGTACACTATACGATCACATGATCACAATGTCAACAAAGCTGTTATGAATTAATTTCATTCAAAATAGCTGTGATTCATAGGAATTATGAATTATAGTAATTATGTGATTGGCCCACAGCTAGGCTAGGTACCTAGGCCAATCACAGCACACAATAGTAATTACAGATGTTATGAATGTAACCCATTTGTGACTGTTTAAAACATTGCTGTTACAGTTATCTTCAGTTATCATTATAAAAAAACCAGCCCCTCCCCCTTTCCCCCAGAGTAGTACAGTGTCAAAATGAACTACTCTGATTAAAGTACGTTAAAAAAAAAATGTTAAAAAAAGAAAACATTTTATAAAAATTGAATAAGAAAATATTATACCAGTAAGTATCCCTGATCACCATCACACCAGTCATATGACACTGTACTGCACCAATGACAGTATAATAAAAAAAAAAAATAAAAATAGTGCAACATTTTTTTTCATTTTCCAAAAAATTGTGACAAAAAAATGTACAACTCCAAAAAACTTGCCATGCCTCTTACTAAATACCTCAGACTGTCTAATTTCCTAAAGGGGTCACTTGGGGGATATTTGTACTGTCCCGGCAATTTAGGTCCTCAAGGAATGAGATTGGCAGTCAGTACATCAGGACTAATCAGTTGTCAAGTAATCAAGTAATCTGGTGCCATTTGTTTAGTGATTTATTGATCTTTGTGCACCTTTGCAAATTAGATGTTTAGGACTTTGAAGCTTACCTGTATTGCCTTCAAATGGATGAAATAAAAAGAACTTTTAATTGTATTATTTTGGGATGTGATGATCAATTTTGGGATACATAGGTAGGCAAGAAATTCACTAAATTCCCCATCAAAGCAGATAGTGTTGACAGGTTAATCCCTCCTGCCATCCACTGTGTTCTCCCAGCAGGGGGGAAGGGGGAGCTGTCCTTGCTGGTAGAAGACAATGATTATTGCTAGCCACTATAACAGCTACTAGTGATAATCGCATTCCAGACTGGTTGTACCCAAGTTGATTGATCAATGTCTAAATTGTTAGCACTTCCGCCTGGCATTACTAGGGTCGTTGCCTGCCTGGAGTTTGCATGTTCTCCTTGTGCCTGCGTGAGTTTCCTCCGGGCACTCCAGTTTCCTCCCACACTCCAAAGACATGCTGGCAGGTGAATCGGCTCCTGTCTAAATTGTCCCTAGTATGTGTATGTATGAATGTAAGTTAGGGACCTTAGATTGTACACTCCTTGAGGGTTAGGGACTGATGTGAATGTACAATATATATGTAAAGCGCTGCGTAAATTGATGGCGCTATATAAGTACCTAAAATAAATAAATAAAAAATAAATCAATTACTTGGGCAGGGGCGTATTTATCACAAGGCAGTTGCATAGGGCAGCATTTTTTAGGCGGGGACAGTGCATTTTGATGTGCTGCAGTCAGCTTCATTGGCCTCCCAATGCACTAAAACATAAAATAAACAGACATGTATATTTCAAAATGCACTGCATGGGACAGAAGTTGAACAAATGCTCTTTAGGATTAGGATGCATCATTGTAACTGGGCCCTAAAATTGACCACTGACAGCACACTGATGGGAGGCAATGCCCACGTTACACCACCATTCATAAAATAACTGGTCAATGCTGACATATTGATGAAACAATGACAAAGTTTGTGAATGTAAGTAGTACAGAATTGTTCATTTAAATCACATTCATGTTTCTAAAGATTTCCAATTCTATCTTCCTCCAGGCTAGACAAGCATCAGTGTCAATCTAGGCTGTAATCTCCATGTTCTCCTGTAGGTGGGGGTATTGCATTTTTCCATTCTAGGGCTGAGGTCATCCCTACAGTAAATGTAGTTTACATAATTTTTAATGATCTCCTCTTTATTGTCCTGTTTTCAATTAGCGGAAATGAAAAACAGTTTAATTAAGGTAAAGTAAGTGCGTGTTTCGAGAAACCTCAGACTGTCTGTATGTAGAAAGGACAAAGATGTTTATCAAACAAGCTATAAAGCTGTAATATTCACACATTCTTTTTTTATCTTGAAATACTGAAAACTTTTTGTTGGTAAAATTTTTTTAACCATCTGAATTTTTAGCATTTTACTCCTAAAACATATCTATTATCTTTTTAAAAGATAATGGTCACTTAAAGCTGAGCTCGGGGATTAGATTGTAAGCTCTAACGAGCAGGGCCTAATGTCTACCTACATTTTGTAAAGCTCTGCGCAAACTGTTGCTGCTATATAAAAAATCCTGTATAATAATAATAATAATGAGCAGATATTGTTTAAATGTCTAAAGAGATGGGTATTCTTACTTGAATCTTGATGTGCTTTGTGTATTTCTTCTAGGTCAATGCAGTAATCCAATGTGAAACCTTACCTCCATGTGAGAGCTTCCTGTAAGAAAGACCAGTGACTCCTGCACTCTCTTCTTGTGCAGGTTGACTGGTCTTGTCTCCGCCCCTTCCTGTAGTTCTCTGTAGGCAGCCTGTGGTGGGTGGAGCCTGCTGGGCCCCTCCCATAGCTCTGCTCTCTGTACAGGCTACGTACAGCACAGTGATGATATCATGGCTACATTTCATTTACAAGTTTGTCTAGGTTTCTAAAGACATTTGGTGCACACAAAGTGGATTTATAGCCTTTGTTTCTATTAACCATTTCCAGTCCGGACACTTTTACCCCCTTCATAACCAGGGCAATTTTCAGCTTTCAGCGCTATCACACTTTGAATGACAATTGCGCGGTCATGCAACACTGTACCCTAATGAATTTTTTACCATTTTTTTGAGACAGATAAAACTTTATTTTGGTGGTATGTTATTCACCGGTGGGATTTTTATTTTTTTTTTGCTATGTAAATAAAAATGTCCAAAAATTTGAAAAAAAGTTTTTCTTATAAAATTTTGCAAATAAATAATATTTCATCATACATCCTGTCCAAAATTTATTCCGTTTATCTTTTTAGTAAAAAAAAAAAAATAAGCCAAATTAGTTTATAACCAAAAATTATAATTTTTACAAATTTTTTTTACATTTTAATTTTTTTTTCTTATATTATTATTATTTATTTATTTTATTTTTTACATACTGTCACCCTAGTAGTACAGTGTCACCAGGGTGACGCTGTACTACTTTTGGGGGGTGATGAAGATTTTTTTTTTTTTTACACTGATTGCTTTTACACCCATATAGGATGTAAAAGCATTTCTTTTTCTCTCTGTCTGCATTCTTGCAGCCATTGAGAACTACTGAGTGAGCTGTGATTGGTCACAGCTTGTCACATGGTACAAGGCTATTGTGAATAGCCTTGTACCATGTGACCTCTGTGATCATTCACAGATTTCACACGTAGTAAGCAATGATGCCACAAGTGACATCTTGCTTACTACTTTGCTTGTGATCACTGATTGGCCAATCAGTGATCACATGATCGGGACCTCATACAGAGGTCCCTTCAAACGATCAGTGTTTCACTGTGTCCGGAGGACACAGCAGGCACCGGATCGCGGTGCTGCACGCTCCCGGGGAGCGCGCACAAGCAGGGTGCGGGGAGGCCGTTTACAAACGGCCACCCGACCCTGCAGTGCCACCGTCCAGCCGTTTATATACAACGGCCAGTCGAGAAGTGGTTAAGGACTATATATAACGTTTCTCTGCACAGAGCTCAGATTTAACCACTTGCCCTCAAGAGGATTTACCCTCCTTCCTGACCAGGCCATTTTTTGCGTTACGGCACTGCATTACGTTAACTGACAATTGCGCGGTCATGCAACGCTGCACCCAAATGAATTTTGCGTCCTTTTTTTTCCCTCTGCTTTCTTTCGGTGG